TAAGGCTGGAACGAATGACTGGGATCAGCCACTTACACTTTAGGGTGAATTAGCTTAGGTAGCTTTGCTTTCCTAATTCTTAGTTGAATTGAACTGAATAAATGGGAGGTGGGTGGGAGAAAAAGTACTGAAAGACTTGGGGCCCTGCACAAATGGTAGAGAAGGGTCATCCGGAATTTGGGTAGTCAGAGGGCAAGGTAATTAGAATTAAGTCTGGGGGAAAGAAAAGAGGTGCTAGGAAAGAGTCAGAGGGGACAGTGCCATAGAAAAGGGTTGCACTGGGGAAAGAGACATGCATATAAGAGACACATGTATAAGAGACCAATGGTGTTGGTCATTTACAACATGAACAGGCCATCAGCTAAGGAGAAACTAAGCCAGTGGTTGTTAGTAGCGGCAGAAGAAAGATGCAAGGCTCCAAGACAACCTCTTGGCTTCCAGATTCATAAGCCCAGGCTGCATCTCTCTGGATGACTTAGTATTTCTTTATATATATATATATTTTTTTTTTTTTTTAGGAACTGAGTGCTTTGCCTAATGACACAGTCTGGATTTTAAGATATTCACTTTAGGTCTATTCAGTGTCTCTTTTGGCATGTTTCATTTCCTATATATTAGCTTTGCCCTGAGAAGTGTGTGCTGTAATAAATTTTTCACTGTCCCTTAAGCACTAGTGAGTCTACCTCTATCCTTGGCAACTGAGAGTGTGAGATGAAGGTTATCTGCTGGAGATAAAGAAACAAGAGGCTGTTAACTTGTTTGTGATCTTCACTAGGTTATAACCTTCTATGGAACTAGAGGACTGGTTCTTTTCACTGTGGTAATTCCCATGCCTAGAATAGGATAGGGGGTGGATGGATGGAGGGAGGGAGGCATGGTTAAAGGGATGGAGGGAGGGATGGAAGGACAGGATGGACAATGTATAGACATCATTAACAGAGGCAAGGACTGAACCACAAGCTCTTTAGTAATGGCTTTGGAAATAAACATAGCTTGTTCCAAATCTGAACCTGCCACCAGCTAGTTACATGATCCCTCTAAAGACTCAGTTTCCTCAGGTGTAAAGTTAGGATAGGACTAGTAAGTCCTCATAAAACCATGGGGGAAAATTGAGCAAAATAATGTATGTAAAGTGATGAACACAGTGCCTGGTGTATCGTAAGCTCCCCCACATGGAAGCTGTTAGGGAAAGCCTACCTTGCTCAAAGATGGCCTGTGAAAGTTAGCAAGGATGTGGGGACAAGATGCCCTGTACCTTATCTGTACCCTGAGTTGGAATTTACTTCTTTCCTTCACTTTTTAAAAAAATTTTCTACCTTCTCTTTCCTTCCTCTCCCACAAGTATTTGAGGAGACAACTGGTTAGGAATAACATTATTTATACAAGCTTCCTGACTCAAAGGCTTTTCTGACCATAAGGACACAGCTGCTCATTTCCAAGACTCACACCTCCCTTGCACATGGGCTTGACTTTCTTCAATCATATCATATAGGATATTAACTTTTTAGGAATATTTGGACCCTATTTTTCCTGCTCCCACTTCATAATCCCATTACCGTTCTTAGAAAAAACACACCTTATTGGATTGGAATGTTCCAACATCTAATACCTTTGGTAGGTGTGGTGGAATCCATGAGAACCAGCTTCTCTGCTTCTTGTTCCAGAGCCACCTAAGAAACCCGGCTTGAAGCTAGGTTCTACCTATACCCTCCCCTTTGCTCTGCTCCTACGCTAGCTGGTTAAGAAAGTTTAGGAATAAACTGTAATGACTATAAAATAAATAGGAAAGCTGTCTTATACTATACGGTTTCCTGCACAGGGATCTAAGAGGGATGGAAGACTCCTATTTTTTTTTTTTTGAGTGTCTATTACATGAGGTAGGACCTGGCTGAGTGTTTTACACATGTGATCATCTTTACAACCCCCGTTTGTGGTTTGGACAATGATCTTGGTTTTACAGTTAAGGACAAGCCAGGCTTAGAGAGGTTAAAGTAGCCAGCCTAGTGGCACAAAGCAAATGAGGAGGGCAACATCTGCCTGATCTCAAAACCTATGATTTCTCCCTTATTCCAGGCAGTCTTCCTCTTCCTGGTGGGGACTACTGAGTTTTGGCATCATCAAGTTTCCTTTTGGTTCTTATCCGGAAGTCAAGTTCCCTTGTTACCAAGATTCCTATTAGGAAAAATGTGGTGTCTGATTTAATAAAATTATGCTAAGAAGATCATGAGCTACCTCTCCCAGAGGTATGTATGCCACCAAAGCAAAGCATGGCTTTGGTATGTAACACCATTACTGATAGTTGATTAAGTGTCAGATTTGATGCAACCAGGATAGAAGGCCCTTTTTGGCTCTTCGAATCACTTGAGGATCTACCTCTGGCCAGCCAGGAAGGCAGTTATGTCCACCCACTCAGGACCCAGGGCAACAGCTGGGAGTTACAGAGAATACACCACATTCAGCTGTTCTAGAATGGAGCCTATGGCCTGTGTCCATGTCTGTCTAGGCCTCAAGGATAGTCACTCCACAAGTGAAATAAAAAGCTCCATGAGAAAGCAATGAGCATCTGGTGGGTCTGGAAGCTCCGTTAATCCAATGATGATCATTCTAAGCTTCAATGTGTCACTAACACAAATACAGAAATTCCTTGAAGCCCCAGTAAAGATAATTAGACAAAATGATGAGGAAAAAAAGGAATGGTAAAGACAGGTTTGAGGGAAGAACAATGATTCACCACAGGAAAGTTGGCTGGGCTCTGCTCTGTGACAGATTTTTCTGTAACCATGGCAGATAACCTAACTGCCTGACCTTGGGCTGGTGCCATGACAAGAATAATGTTTTCAGAAGGATGAACCGTTTCTCAACTGTATCCCCCAGGTTATTGGGCACAATTCAGGGCATTCTTTCTCAGTCCTTCATTTTTATGTTGCTTAAATATCTCTTTTTCTCTATCTCTTTCTTAAGTCTTGTTCCCACTTCTTTTTTTCCAAATTTAAGGAACCTAGTAACATAGCAGATTTCTAACACTAAGGTCACAGAAAAGCTCTCCATCTCAAATTGCACATGAGGTCTTTGTTCAGTTTCCAAAGAAGCCATCAGGTACAGTTAGGTAGCAATAATTCTCATTTCAAGTGTTGGCCAAATTATTGCTTGCCCTTAAATTATTACTTCAGGCTTTAGAAACACTGGTTTATAAGAAAAGGCAAAAAAAAAAAAAAGTGAAAAAGATTTACTTTGGGAGTTTCCACTCTACTGCTGTTGATTGATTTGTAAGCTGGAAGGTTTGTGAACTGTGAAACTCCAATGTTTCATCACCATATCTACAACAAGGAGCTATCAGGTGGTGATATTTCCATCCTCATGGACTAACACGCAACAGGATCGATGACTGGTTCAGATACGTCAGCTCTTGGAGCAGTGAAGACCGAGGGAGGATGTTTAGTTTAATGACTATCTTTAGAAGGGCAACACTTAAAAGTAGCCATGATAAGAAATATGCAATGGCTTCTTCAGGACCATTCCCTAAACTCTGCTTCAGGGAACAAAGTGGGTATTTTCATCACTGTATCCTCAGCACAATGCCCAGTGCAAAATAGGCATTCAATAAATTTGTTTAATGGAGGTTGAATGAAGAGAAATTCTAGTTATCTTAAAGGGCACTATAAAATTCTAAACCGAAAGATGCAGAATATTTTCTATTCTTTTACACATGGACAAGCACCACTGAAATATTTTTAAAACGTTCCTCATTTCAGTGTTCCACCATCCTTGCTGCCTGAGTGTGCTTGACTACATTTTTCTTACAGAAATCTAAGTCTTGTTCCCTATAGACTTCTCATGGCTCCTTAATTTATAGTTAAGGCCAGTTCCTTTTTTTTGACTAACAGAGATGCTTTATCTTCAAACTTAAATTTGACTGAAGGTATTTTCCTAATAGAATTAACTTTTTTGTTCTTGGAAAGCTTCAGTTCTGTGGATAATTATCATTACCTTCAAAGGATCACATAATGTGAGAGCTGGAAGGACCTTCCCCTCATTTCTTCCTTCATGGTACCCTTGCCTGGGGCTCTATCCTCCTGCCAGGTGGACAAGCTGAGTCCACACCACACTGGGCTGATTGTGGGAGCACAGAAAATGTTAACATACCCCAGGCAAGAGGACATTATTACTCTCAGGGAAAATGTGATGGTGTGGATCACACAGAGCACACTATTTGTGACTCTACAGGAGAAAAAGTGCAGGTGCCGATCATAAAATACAAGCTAGCCACGGTTAGCACTTCCGTTCTGTTGGGTGAGCAGCCAGTGATTTCTCCAAGCACATCTGACTATTTTGCTCTCCCTGTGTAACTCCCTTCAATGGCTCTCCTCTGCCTCTAGGACATAAAGTCCAAACAATTTAACCTAGCCTATTGGGCTATCCTGAATCTGGCCCCTGCCTGCCCTCCAATACCAGCTTCCACTCTTGCCTTTCCTTCCTGTTCATGCCTTCCTTCAGCCTGCAACATCTCTCTTCTCTCATCTTTGTCTTAGGCAACTCCTACTTATACCTTACCATTCAACACAGGCATCACCTCCTCCAGGAAGCCTTCCCTCGGCCTCATGCTCCCACAGAACCCTGTGCTTGCCTCATTCACAGCAGTTACTGTTTTGCAATCTTCCTCCTCCACTAACCGGTCACAGATTTTGTCTCCTAGTTATCTCTGAGGGCCAAATACAAGCAGACTGTTGGACCTGAAGATGCCTAGCACACTGTCATTTTTTACTAAATTGAGATATAAAACATTTTCTGCCCTTTTTTTTTTTTGGTGCAGAAGGTTAACTTCAATCAGTGGTCTGTATAAGGACTTTCCCAGAGTCCAGGCAGTACTATGTGGTGTGAGGGGCCGACCAATTAGAGAGATGTTAAGAAACCAAGAAAGCTTCCCTTTCAGGACTTAATTGAAAGGATTTCCCTAAAACTGATGTTTTTATCTTTTTAGAACGAGTCATTTGTGCTTTCAGGTGACATGACGGGATGGTAGATTCGATCCCAGATTCATGCAATGACTAAATCTACGCACGCAAAACAGTTTCTAATACCATCAAAGCTCATTTCACGGAAGTTGGAGGTTGACAGGTGATGTGTAACCATGGAAAGGGCTCTCTTCATAAATGGAGATTGAAGCCCTGAGGCGAACAGCCATGTGACGTTTATCCTTGTTGATGTCAAAATGCTGCTGGGAATGATTCTGATCACTGGGCCAACACATTCCTGGGAAGAGAAGTAACCGAGGCTGCCATTGGGCCAATCAGGTCCAATAGTTAAGAAACAGGTCTTGGCAGGTTCCTCCGTTGTAACTTGTCCAACAGTGGAAGAAAAGAGAGAGATGGTGTAATTATGCATCTGGAGTTACCAAGGAGGATGACGACAGTAATAGCATTAACTCTCCAAAGGTGCCTGAATATGGCCTCCAAATCTGGACTCAATTTCTGTGGAGCTTTGGTGTGCTTTTGCTTTAAGTGCTTACAAGTTGGTATGGACAGAGCCAAAAGGCAGCATATGGAAACTTTGGGAACACAGCAGAAGATAAACCAATATTTGGAGAGCATGTTGAAACAGTAACCCTTAAAACAAGCTGTCAAAGGGGAAGGTGCCTGCAAAACTTTGAAAGCTCCATCAAATAAATTAAAGCATGGTTGTGTAAAAAGGCAATACCTTCTGCTCTAGCCATTTTCGGCCAATATAAAAGAAAATTAGAAATTGGAAATCATTTGCGGCTAGTACGCATGGATTTTGTTAGTGTATAATAAAATAGGCATTCTGAAGTTTGCTTTTAAAGAGGAGGCTCTGTGACCTTTAAGACGTTTTTCTTAACTCTCTCGTCTCAAACAGGGATTCTCAAACTTCTTTTACAGTTCTTGTTGGTTTGAGGAGCCACCCTAGGTCTGAGAAAAGAGACTGGGGTTGGGGCGAGGGGCAGAAACCAAGTCCTGTTCCTGGAATTATGGGCTTTCCCCCCCTTTACTGTTTATCTATTCTGTACCACTCAGCTGTTCTCTGTTGCACAGAAATAAAAGTTTAGTTTAAAAAGTATGTTAGAACAAAGCTGCAGAAATTGCCTGGAATTTCCTTCATTTTCAGCCATCTGGCTTTCATTGCTTACTTCTTTCCCCTCCTCCACATACGTTTACCAAATCTTTTCAACACACACTGGCCAAGCTATCAAATGCTTATAATTAATAACAGTCATGCTCTTTTTTTTTTTTTTTAAAAGGTAGTGCTTTCTGGCTTTCCTTGGGCTGTTCATGTCATTGCTAGTATAAACCAGGGAGATGGTCAGTAAAACTTAATTATTAAGACTTAGTTGAATAAGTGAGAAAATCTAATCAAATTTAAGTCCTGAATACAAAAAAATGATGTTTTATTTCAAACTAAAAGTATTTCTTGCCAAGAAATGAAAGAGAAGAAAAAGAGAATTTTTCTGAGTTCCCACTATGATCCTATTTTAGAGATGAAGAATCTGAGGATCCAAAAAGGTATATAAGCTCTTACAAGTCATGTAGCTAAACCTAACAGAGCAGTATCTGAACACAGGTTGGAATCTATCTGCTGGTTTTTATTTTGGTGGTCTCAGGGATGGGAAAGATTTTTAGGACATATTATTAAGTGAAAAATCAAGTTGCCAAGTCATATATATATTTATAATATGATCCAAAGGGAAGAAAATCTCATGTATTTGTTCATGTTCATATATGTATATATATTCATAGAAAAGGGTCTGGAAAGGTATGTACCAAATCACTAACATGGTTATCTCTGGGGAGAAGAAGGTTCTGGAACTGTAGAGCATGGTGTGAAAAGGGGATATATGTCGTTCTTCTTTGATTACTTCTGCTATGCTTGACTTTTTTTTTTTTTTAAGATTTTATTTATTTATTTGAGACAGAGAGAATGAGATACAGAGAGCATGAGAGGGAGGAGGGTCAGAGGGAGAAGCAGACTCCCCGCCGAGCAGGGAGCCCGATGCGGGACTCGATCCAGGGACTCCAGGATCATGACCTGAGCCGAAGGCAGTCGCTTAACCAACTGAGCCACCCAGGCGCCCTGCTATGCTTGACTTTTAAAGAATGAGAATATTCATGTAGAACAACTTGCATAATTATAATACTCAGAAAGCTTTCTTATTGGGAAAAAGAGGCCAACCTGTTTCCTAATGACTGATTTTAGTTCCTTTTTGGACATTTTTCCCTTAAAGTGGCCTAACCCACCCAGGAAGGTGAGCAGGGTAGAGGGGCTTCTAGACACCAATTACTCAGATGGTGGTAAAGGTAACTAAAATAATTTTTCTTCCTTGTAATTATATAGCCTCTTGCTATCAACGTTGATGCAATATTCTCATTGTCAGCTCACGAATAAAAATGGTCCTAACTTCTTTTCACCAACTTTAGGCAAGGTTGTTAAGGGAGATATACTACTTTCCATCTCTCCCGACAAACTCCTCCCTGGGTAATGCTAACAAGTCACTCAACCTCCATTATGTCCACTCTCTCCTCTATTACAGCTTGCCCTCTTACTCTTATTTTGGGGAGACTTTGCTATCCGTGGCTGCTAACATAAAGGATTACTTTTCCTAAGTCTATTTATGTCTTGAATTGGTATTTAAAGCCTTACAGTTATAGAAGGGACTCTAATAATGGCACTTTCAGCATCATCTGGTGGGTGGAAGAGAGGGGATAGGTGGATGGACAGCAGAGATAGCACTGGTGTCTTCCCAGCTATCATTAATACTCGGATCTAAATATTACTCCTTATACATTTGGTCCTGTCCGTTATGCCCATGTATTCAATAAACACTTAATAAGCCCCTGCATTGTGTCAAACATTATGCCAGGTGCTAGCTCCACAGAGAGGAGGATTTGGACATAGAGCTGATAGCGAGGGCTTTAAAAGATAGTCCTCGTCAATAGGTAACTACTATTTTTTTAAAACGCCCTAGAAATGGAGGCAGACCACGCTCATGCACACATGCGAGCGAACGCGCCCACGCGCACACACACACACACAAATTGAAACAATCAGAATACCTCCAGCTTGAAAATACCCTTGTTGCTGTGGATAGCTGGGTGGGAGACCATATCTATCTAAACCTGGAGAAAGTTGGACACGTGCTTGTGATACCAGCCTTGCCATCCACACAGAGTAAATCAGGAGAAGGTACATTTAATCTCGGCAAGACAGCCCAGATGGGACATGCCCTCTAGGCCTATGGCATTCTTCATGGGATTGGACAACCCTGACCACACATGAAAGAAAAAGTGGCTCCCTGACAACTGCCTGGGAAAGCTCCTGCTCTTAACCAGTGGCCACCTCTCAGAGACGTATACCCAGTTACCAAGACTAGAAACATCATTTCTGTTTGTCCCAGAGAAAATGCTATGGCGTTTTGAACACATGGACATCAGCACAGACCAAAAGCCCATCAGAGGACTCCCTAAAATGTGCAGGGAACAGTCATCCGTGCACAGTAAAAATTGTGAATTAGGGGCGCCTGGGTGGCTCAGTCATTAAGCGTCTGCCTTCGGCTCAGGTCATGATCTCAGGGTCCTGGGATCGAGCCCTGCATCAGGCTCCCTGCTCAGCGGGAAGCCTCCTTCTCCCTCTCCCACTCCCCCTGCTTGTGTTCCCTCTCTCGCTGTCTCTCTCTCTCTGTCAAATAAATAAATAAAATCTTTAAAAAAAAAAAAGAATTGTGAATTAAAGATTTAAATTACTCGCCACCTTCTAGAAGGTGCTTGGGAAAACCACAGTCTCTTATGTCCCTACCAAACCCATTTTCTCTTCCGTGTACATCTTACACCTACTTTCCGAATGAGTGATGGTTTTCTCCTGACATCATACTGAAATATCTCACAGGAGATGCACCTCCATACGTCTCTCACTTTTAAGAAGAAAATCTGACTTTGGCTCTTTAACACCAGATGAAGAGAATGAGTCATCTCAGGCCACTGTATGTTGGCCCTCTCTGTTGTTTTAATTAGCATCAGTCTACAAACACTCAGCTGTGGATGGTTGGTTCAAGAAACCCCGGCTGTGCCCTGTAAGAGCGGTCTTGCCTGTCAATCTGACGATTGGCTGGTGGGAGATCAAAGCACTGAGTTTATCTGGAGCAAATGCAATAAGTTAAGCCTAACAAGAGTCCTTGTCTGGGAGTCAATATAAAGGTCGTAGAGTAAATTAAGCTCATCTAATTTAACTGGGCTGAGTACTTTGAGGATGGGAAGTAACACCTTGTGTCCTATTCCTTCTGCTGCCCGGGAAGAATTGGATTTAGTGGCTGTAAATCCGACAAGATCTTCAGCTGGTCCCGGGTGCTGACTCCTCAGCCCATCACAGCATTTGGATGTCATTACAACCCCGGGATGTGGTTAGACACTTAGGCTTGTTTTTAAAATCACGGTAAATAAGCGGAACGGAAATGACATCAATTATCAGCCACAGCAGTAGCTGTCCAGTTCGTCTGCCTATAGACTAACAAAGAGTCATGGGATATTTGAGCAGGATGTGGTGACCTCAGATACAGCCTGTTCGTTTTGCAGATGTGGAAACAGAAAGGGCAGCCATCTTGCCCAATGCCACACAGCTGGTGGGTGACAAAGCTCGGAGGAGAACTGCTGGACCTCCTAGCCAAGGACCTTACAGGCTGTCCATGCCAAAACCACTCCGCTTTTTCCGATTTGGGGAGAAAGAATGTAGTCAAACCGAAGGGGTTAGTATCCCTTGCCTGGACAATTAGGCTTGCCCAACTGGAGAACGGTGAGGTTAGGTTGGAGATGTGGGACCAGGTCAAACAGGGATAGGAAAGAGGCTTCTTGGGATTCTACGCACTGGATCTAGTTTTTTCTGGGTCTAGCCCTTGACTCTATTCTACTGGCCACTGTTCTCTGGGTGGAGTGCTTCTCCAAGCAATGGCTGGCTGCTTTTCTGGATGCTATGGAGATGGCCCCGGTAGTTCTCCTCCCTTCTGCATCGGAAAGGGGACGCCAGGCCCACCATTCAGATCAATCTATGGGACATCTCTGTGACCAGCAGAAATGCCCTGATCTGGCTTATAGTCTGTACCCTTTAAGTTCCAAAGGAAGGGTATTTTGCTGACTGAGAAATAAGACAAGCCGCATCTGCAAAATACTGTCTGTTCTGCTTATTTACTGTGATTTTAAAAACAAGCCTAACTGACTTTGCCTAATGCATTGCTTCTTCCATGTTACTTTGCAGAAAGAGAAGAACTATCGTTCAGAAACAGCATTCCCTTTCGTATCTAGGATATGACCTTATCTTATAACAGTCTTCATCCCATCCGCAGACTTGAAAGTCTGGCTCTGGTTCTTGAACATCTCCCTTTGAAACCAGAATCATCGATAAGATGGTTTAGCTTCCACAGAGATTTGTTCCAAAGAAGTCTCTGCAGGCAAGTCTCTCAAGACACCATAAAATTGTGTGGACTAAAGCAGTGATTGGATTGATTTGCTAAGACTCAAGGTTGGGTAAAAAAGAGACCCAGGCAGGACCGAACAATGAAATGCTCTAATTGATTTTATGCATGTGGAATGACACACATACACTCCAGAGCATGCTATAATGAATCTGCATGCTGTGTGCATACAGATTTCACAGTGGATCCATTATACCACCCAGTCACTCCAGCTTCTTATGCCCTGCAACCCATGAGCCAATCCATTACTATGGTGTGAGGGCTTGGGACCCAGGCTAAAATTGGCAGAGACCCTGAAGCCTGTGGTTGCTTCACGTTCCCTTCAGGAGGCAGCAGCAGTGCGGCACGTGCACGTTCCAGTCATGCCACAGGGCTCATTTCAGTGCACAGAGCCTTCTGGACCCTGAGGATGACCACGGGGCTGGAATTCCAAAGCCCTGGTTTCAATTAAATTTAAGTGGATTTGACTAAAAGTTTGAACTGATGCTAATTGGTTTTCAAAACACTGGGTTTTGAACAATAAGCATTCTGGTCTTGCCCACAGACAGAGGCACCCCACTCTGAACACACTCCTGGGTAGCAGGGCAGGCACGGCGCCCCTTACCTGGCCGGGCAGGGATCCAAACTGCAGGACTTGAGGAGCCGTGGGGGCCGGCGGCTGGTCACACACAGGTTCTCATCAGCAGGCTCCCGCGTCTGTTTGTTCAGGCAGCTCACCACAGCCTCCTGGACACCTGCGTACAAATCACACTGTCAGGCCAGAGTGGGCGTGTGTGGGGTGATGAAGTGTAGACAAGGCAGCTGGTGGGAGGCCTCTGTGATTGGTAGGGCTCTTGCTGCATGTCAGAGATTGCAGCATGAAGCCCGGGGCTGCCCATCTTGTCAGGCATCGCTCCATCAGGGAGAAAGTACTCGTGAGCTAGTGCCTCTGTGAAGGTGCCCCTGGAGGAGGGCAACTTCCCTCATGGGAGAGCTTGCACCAGTACTGATGAAACGCTTTAAGAAAATGCCACCAAAGTCACAGAGCTGCCAAAGCTGAGATGTGATAATTTAATGCAGGAGGAGAGCAGGGTGACAAATAAAAAAAAAAAAAGTCCCAGAGACCTTTACATGTTATGTTTTAATCAACAGGTGATTGTT